GAATATCCTAATGAAAATTCTATGAAATGGTAATGAAAACGCGCAGCAGCCTAATGAAATATCCTAATGAAAATTCTAAGAAATGATAATGAAAAAGCGCAGGAGCCTAATGAAATATCCTAATGAGAATTCTAAGAAATGGTAATGAAAAAGCGCAGGAGCCTAATGAAATATCCTAATGAAAATTCTATGAAATGGTAATGAAAAAGCGAAGCAGCCTAATGAAATATCCTAATGAAAAGTCTCAGAAATGATAATGAAAGGGCCAAAGAACCTAATGAAATATCCCCATGATATCTCATTATCCTTGTCTATAACTTATGAAAGATTCCAGTGATAAATTGAATGAAATAGATGGGCAATCCTAATGAGATGCCTTTCATAAAACCTGTGGCATTATACACAATGGCTCTTGGACAGTTGTCATAGATTAATCATAAAAGTGGTAGCCACCAGTCGGAGCAGAATGTTGTGGCACTGGCGGTGAGATGGTTGGAAATGGTGCTTTGGACGACGGCCCTGGCGGCGGCCGCTCCAATGGTGATCAGCATGAACCAGAACGTTGTGGCACTGGCGTTCAGATGGCCGGAAATGGCGCTTTGGGCTGCAGCGCTGACGACCGCAGCGAGGGCACATCTGGAGATCTAAGTGATCTATCTGACCTATCTTCCGACGAAGATGTCCTCCCCCAAGTTGCAGACAAGTCAAAGAACAACGAAGGCAAGAGCTTGGGCCGCAAAACTCCCACAAAAAGCGAAAGGAAAACTACTGCCATAACGGGGATCGGGTCAGTCTCTGAATCAGACAAGGGAAAGAAAAATGCTGGCAAGAGCTTGGGCCGCCCTGGCCGCAAAACTCGCACAAAAAGCGAAAGGAAAATTACTACCATAACGGGGATCGGGTCAGTCTCTGAATGGCCTATCGATGAAGCTGAAATGGAGCGCCTAGCGGTGAGCTAACTGGTTGATTTACTTCGAAGCTTTATAAACCATCGCTAGGCGCCTCGACCCCCGCTAACCCTGGAATTTGACAA